AATTTAGGGCCTCATGTTTGCTATGCAGGCCCTCTATCACTTGAGCCACTCCACCATCCCACAGTTTTTTTTTTTTAAATTATTATTAGAGCATTAATTAGTCCAGGAACAAAGCTTTTAGATAAGAACACAGTAGAAGTACATCTGGGTGGTAGGTTAATAATGAGTTATCTCTAACTCAATCATCTATGGTCAGGGTAAGTATAGTTGATCTTTATGACACTATCCCTAGATAGTTAAGTACATCCCTCAAAGCACTTGCTTTTCTAGAAACCCATTATTACCTGTCATTGTATCTAACATTCATACATCCAGCCATCCATTCATCCATCTACCCATCCAACAAACCATCCATCTATCCATTCATCCATCATCATTCCATTCACCCACCCACTCATCCATCTACCTTTCATCCATTTATCCATCCATCCACCCATCCATCTACCTATCCACTCATCCTTCCACCCATCCATCTACCTATCCACTCATCCATCCACCCATCCATCTACCTATCCACTCATCTGTCCACCTATCCATCCATCATCCATCCATCCACTATGTATCTGTCATTTACCCATCCATCTAATTAACCCTCTATGAGTATATTCATGTCCAGGTATCCTGATCAGTGGTGGGGATACAGAAAAAAATTATACCCCTTTTTCTGTCAAGGAGTACAAGCCTATGGGGGAACATATCCATACAAACCATGAATCATTACTTTTCTTAACCTATTTTCAGTCCGTTCTACCTTTTGGGGGTAACAAGTTCTATAGAGCATAGATTATAGAATTTTAAAACTGAGCGATCTTAGAAATCATCTCTTGTATCTTGCCCATTTGCTAATAGGAAATTGTGGTTGTTATTTGTTGTGAAAAGTCCTGTGACTTCCTCTTATTTGCCTCCCAATGATCTCTTCTTGCTTTCAAGTTCAGTCAGTTCAATCTCTATCAAGTATTATTGTACACCTGGTTCTGTGGAAGAGCAGATGCAGGGAAGAAGATGTCACTTCTGCCCTCAAGAAGGTCACAGTCTGGTAAAAGGACATGCTAAATGATAAGAGCTACACTGCTTGATTTAGAGATGGTGTCAGCACAGGGTTGTGAAAATATAGGAGGAGGGCCTTTGATTTGGGTTGGGGAGCTCAGGCAAGGCTTCTCAGAATGACCTTTGAGTCATATCTTGAAGGATGAAGAGAATTGTGTTAGATGAAGATGTAGGGAAAGGGCATGCCAGGCAGAGGGAATAGAGTGAGCAAAGGCAGGCTTAGGGGAAATTTCAAGAGGCTAGTGATGGTCCTAGAGAAGGAGGAGGTGAAGAACAAAGCTAAAAATGAGGGCAGGGGAGTGGGAGGGACAGTATACCTACGCCTGTGGTGGAGTTGGTATGGCACAAGGCTCTCCTGCTTTCCTGGGTTTAGTGGATGTACCCTTGCTCACGTTCCCTCTGAGGTGCTCTCTGAGGTAAGAAACTTTCCAACACCCCCTTACCCTCCATTTTTGCATACTGGAGAGGCCTAATGTGTCAGCCTTTCACTTTAAGGCAGCATGAAGAGTTGCTAGCCATCATTCAAAGTGTGGTTCAAGTCCTGCCACCTCCATGAAATCTGCCTTTACTACTCAATGCTCTCGGTGAATTCAGTGCCTTGAACACACCTTGTGATCTGTATCATTGCTCTCTGTCACCCCAGGTGAGCATAAATTGTCTTTTCAGTGAGACCATAAGCTCCTGAGGATTGCCCGTGAAAGTCACATGTCTGTGGTATTGTAATGTTTATATGATAATGTTCAATCAATACCACATGTTTAACAAGTACCAATAAGACTGGATCTTGTCCCTTTGGGTTTCAGGACATAAGGCAAGCTCTGAGGTTGGACAGACCTGGGTTTGATCCCAGCTATGCCACCAATTACTTGTTAGTAGCTGTGAGCAAGTTTTAAAACCTGCCTAATGCCTCAGTTTTCTCATCTATAAAGTGGGTGGTGGTCTCAACTCACAGGTTGTTGTGAAGGCACAGTTGTGGCTGAGGATCAGGGGAGGCACTGGGGATTCCCTACAGCGGGGATTTGGGAGTGCAGTGCAGTGGTGGGGTGAACAGGATGGAAAGACTGGCACGTTCAGGCCCTGTGGTTGTGCAGCTCCTGGTTCGTTCACTTTAAAGTGACCTGTATGACCTCACTGGAGCTAGGGAAATGGAAGCCCTGAGAGGTTAGCAGTTGGCTGAGGCTCATACAGTGGGCCAGTTACACAGCTTGTACTGGGGACGTCAGGAAGAGAGCAAAGCTTGGACAGTCTCTGACAGGGGTGGGGACACAGTCTGAATCCAAGGGTGGGAACAGGAAACAGTTGGGTGCTGGCAGATGCTTAGCACCCAGTAAAGGCTTAACAGCTACTCTGCAGGAAAATGCAAGCCCTGGCTTACATGTTTGCCCATTTCTGTGGTATAAATACTCCCCCATCACTGATTTCAAGCTATCAATGTGACATTGTTGGATGTGGAGTTGGGAGGAAAGGTATACAGTAGGTGCACCACTGAGGGCTCAGGGCTGCCACTATGGTGACCAACAACAACATACATGGGGTTCTCCCAAACTCTGTGATGTAGGGACTTTTATCACTCCCACTTTACAGAGAGGAAGATGAGGACCAGAAAGTTATCTTGCCTGTGGCCACACAGACAACCTGTGGCAGAGAAGGGCTCCAACCTGGGAATTCTGACTCTAGAGCCTGATCTCTAAATAAGACCCTGTCTACCTCCTTTTGGGACAGGATCATTGTAACCAGGGGCAAGAGCTACCTCAGTGCATCAGTTGTCAAGTTGCTGCTCCTTCCCAGATGACCCTCTGGTGGCTTTGGAGTAGTTTGGATTCCACCTAGGGTATTGCTCATCCCATTCTGCAAGGCCCTATTTAGATCCTGTTGCACAGTCAGGAGACAGCGAAGAGTCTGTCTCAGAAAGGTGAGCTGAGGCAGAAGGCAGTCTCATGGGTGCCATGGTTACAGAGAGGCCCAGGCCTAGAGTCTGTCCTCTCAAGTTGATTTTCATAGCCTAGAAGTTGTATCCAGCACTACAAGCATAGTAACAGCATATTTCTGCTACTAACAACATATTAATGGTAATTCATTAGAAAGTCATTAAACCTAAATATTCAATTTGGAGCCAACAGGTGGCTCTGTCAGAGGATGGAGGAGAGGGAGGGAAATAAAAAAGACAGGAAGGGAGAACAGGCAGGCAAGCTGGAGGGGTGGGGGTTACTGGAGGGCCTGAATGGGCATGGGAAATGCATGAGAACCTGGGCTTGCATCTGAGCCCTGGCACTGTAATGTGTGTGTGTGTGTGTGTAGGACTGACTACCTCATTGTTGATAATAATATTATTGTGCAGGTGTAATTGCAATTATTCATGTATCTGGGGTTGTGGCTTATATTACAAATAATATTCAGTTCTCAGATGAGGGACTGGAGAGGAGGGAACCGATAGGCAGAGGTTGCTCTGGGCTCATTTGGTGGGAGCTCTGCCCTTCTGTGACCTGCTCATTTGCTGCTGACCTGGACAGCTGCTTTTGAAGCTCACTGTGTGTGTGTGTGCATAAGTGTGCACAGGCCACTGTGTGCACACCCCTATGTACATGCCCACATATGTGGGTGCATATGCATGTGTATTTCTGCGTGTTTGTGTGTTCCTGGATCTTCTACCCTCCTTTTCTCATCTAGAGAAGGAGGTGGACAGAGGCCAAAGGGTGATAGGGAATCAGGAAGCAGACAGGAAGATGCCTCTGTCTTAAAACATCAGCTGTGCCTGGGGGGATTCCAAAATGGTGTCTTCCTCTCTGATCCCTAAGGCTGTTGTGGTTAAAAATGGAAATGAATTCAGCTCTAGTCCCACTTCTTTGGAACCCTGTCTGTACACAGTGGGAGCTTAATAAATACTTGATGATGATGATGCTGAACCTGGGAAGCCAGCAGCTGTTCCCTGCTCTGACTCTTAGAGTCTCATGGGACAAGTCAGGTAGGGAGTGACTATGATGGTGGTGCCTTCAGTCTTCCTGCCAGGTCCTTCTGTGACTCCATGTCCAGCTATAAAGGAAGAGGCTGGAGCCCTGGTCCACATCACACCTTTATTCCTGGGCAGAGTCTCTTTGGTTTTTCCTATCCATCACTTGAACAATATTTATTGAACATTAGAGGAGGAAAGCATCTGGGGTATAGGAACTGTGGGGTCATACTAATCTAGGTTCAAATCCTAGCTCCATTAATTACAAGCTGGGTGACAACTGGCAAATTTCTTAACTTGTTTGTGTTTGAATTTTTTTTCATTCTCCTTTTCTTTCTTCCTTCCCTTTATTTCTTTTTTAGAATTTATGACATCATTTTTATAGTGTTGATGTGAGGGTTGGAAATAACAGAGAGGCGCCTGCACACACATTGCAGGTGCTCTGTCGGTAGTAGGTGAGGTTATTCACCATCAGGAGGAGTGGATGAATCCCCTCTGCTTCTGTGACCTTGAAGTTGTTATTCAACATCTCTGAGCATGTTTTCGCCGTGGTAAAATGGGAACATAATGCCCACCTCCCTGGGTGTTGGGAGGATATACCTGGAATCATATGTGTGAAACAACCTGCCCACTAATAAATGTTTGTCTTCCCCTCCCTGCCGCCTTATCGTGGTGACAGCTCTCCTCCTTAGGAGGACCTCTCTCCCTCCTTCCCGCAGCCCCGCGTGAGCGAACAGTCCTGATCGCTGTGGGCTGGCGAGTTTCGGCCATACCTGTCAGAGAAAAGAGGGCAGCCGCTCCGCATCCAGGTCGTAGAGCAAAAACTACAGTTCCCAGCCCTCGCTGCGCTGCCACCCGGCCGAGGAGCGGAGGACAGCAAGCCCCGCCTCCGGGGAGGAGCCTGGCCGGGGGGCGGAGTTAGGAGGTGGTTGGAGAGTTAAGCCAAGCCAATGAGACCAGCTGCTAATAAGTGGGCTTGGCTTACAATATAACAGTGTCAGGAGGAGGAGAGCGAAGCTATTGAGCCAGCGAGGAGTGAAGCTGAGCCTGGCCTCACACGCTCCTGGAGGACCACCCCCTGAGACAGAGTTCTCTTCGCCCCTTCTTCGTTCTCCAAGCTCTCCTCCTGCCCTCCCTCCCTGCCCAATACAATGCATTCTTGACTGGCAGCGTCTGGACTCCAGGCAGTCCCAGAGAACTGAAGCAAGCCAAAGAGGAGGACTGGAGCCAAGACACTCCGGTGGAGGAGCTTGGATGCCTGGCTTTCTTTGAGGACATCTTTGGAGCGAGGGTGGCTTTGGGGTGGGGGATTGTGCTTCAGGGAATCCAGCCAGGCCCCAAGATGGACACTTCTGGGCACTTCCATGACTCAGGGGTGGGGGACCTGGATGAAGACCCCAAGTGTCCCTGTCCATCCTCCGGGGATGAGCAGCAGCAGCAGCAACAGCAGCAACCACCGCCGCCAGCACCACCAGCAGCCCCCCAGCAGCCTCCGGGACCCCCGCTGCAGCCTCAGCCTCCGCAGCTTCAGCAACAGCAGCAGCAGCTCCAGCAGCAGCAGCAGCAGCAGCAGCCACCGCATCCCCTGTCTCAGCTCACCCAACTCCAGAGCCAGCTTGTCCACCCCGGCCTGCTGCACTCCTCTCCCACCGCTTTCAGGGTTCCCCCTTCGTCCAACTCCACCGCCATCCTCCACCCTTCCTCCAGGCAAGGCAGCCAGCTCAATCTCAATGACCACTTGCTTGGCCACTCTCCAAGTTCCACAGCCACAAGTGGGCCTGGCGGAGGCAGCCGGCACCGGCAGGCCAGCCCCCTGGTGCACCGGCGGGACAGCAATCCCTTCACAGAGATCGCCATGAGCTCCTGCAAGTATAGCGGTGGGGTCATGAAACCCCTCAGCCGCCTCAGCGCCTCCCGGAGGAACCTCATCGAGGCCGAGCCTGAGGGCCAACCCCTCCAGCTCTTCAGCCCCAGCAACCCCCCAGAGATTGTCATCTCCTCCCGGGAGGACAACCATGCCCACCAGACCCTGCTCCATCACCCCAACGCCACCCACAACCACCAGCATGCCGGCACCACTGCCAGCAGCACCACCTTCCCCAAAGCCAACAAGCGGAAAAACCAAAACATTGGCTATAAGCTGGGACACAGGAGGGCCCTGTTTGAAAAGAGAAAGCGACTCAGTGACTATGCTCTGATTTTTGGGATGTTTGGAATTGTTGTTATGGTGATAGAGACCGAGCTGTCTTGGGGTTTGTACTCAAAGGTAGGGCTGTGGTTTCTCTTTATACCTTGAACAAAAGGAATATGTAGGTAGGTAGGTAGGGAGAGAAAGAGAGAGAGAGAGAGAGAGAGAGAGAGAGAGAGAGAGAGAGAGAGAGAGAGAGAGATGGAGGAGGTGTTTGCTCAGTTATGTGGAACACTCTAACTTCCCATGGTTTTCCTTCTTGATCCTGGGAGAATTCATTCCTTGCTTCCCTTTGGGGGGGAACATCCCAATATACTGTCTAATTTGCAGACTCTGTTAGGGGATTGGAAAATCCCTTCTGAGAAATCATTTTTCCTCCTGGCTCACTTGTACTAAAGCATAACCCAGAAGCTTAAAGCACCAATTAATTACACTGTGCCTTGATGTGTTTGCCAGTTACTGCGACTTCCCCTCCTTTCCTCCCCTCCCTGCTCCACTCCATTTTCCCCAGGATAAAAAAGAAATAAATGTCTGAGCTGGGGGTGGGGATTCCGTACCATTCCCCAAGTCCCTTCCTTCCCTGTCTTTTCCCTTTCTTCCCAAGTTTCTATTTCCCTCCTCTTCCCAGAGAGACTCAGGGCAAAATAGAGAAGCCTCTGTGGCCTGAGTCTCGGAGGGCACCAGGGTAAAAATAAAGGTGGAGGAAATCAGCATTCCCTTCCCTCAGGAAAGAGGACTCAGAATAAACCTGCTGCCGCCTCGTAAACATCCCTGATAAAAATGGCTACAGGTGTTACCCCGGCAGAGCAGATGGGCGCTGCCTTGGCATCAGCCGGGAGGTGGGGGCGCCTCTCCTTGGTATGGGATGACAGGGCTTCCCCAGCGGTCCCCGCGAGCCCGCGCCCCCAGCTCAGCCCCGTTCTCCCCTCCCATCTTTACTCCTTCTCCTCGGGGATAAATAAAGATGCATGTATGTGAGTGCGCGCTGGATGGATAGATGTCCTCAGCCACTGGCTTTTCCAGGGACTGGCCCCACTGCTCTGGCCTCTCGGTCCAACCCAAAGTTGGAGGGGAGGGCTCCCCGCCCCCAGCTCCCCCGCGGGGATCGAGATTGAGGAAGGTGGGTTTTGCCGATGCTCTGCTTGCCAGGGAGTCCTGCCGCGGGCTGGAAGGCTTGGAGACCTGAAATCGTTGGACAAGTGGCTTTTCCCCCCACATTACACACATTGGTGTGTGTTGTGTGTGTTTCTATGTGTGTGTACTTGGTCTGTGTGCCTGCTTGTTGGTTGGATTTCTCTATTTGTCATTTTGGTCAGGGGGTGGCTGAGCTGGCTGGCGGGTAGTTGGGAGGGGTTCAGCTGTTGGAGGTTTCAAATAGAGCTTGTTTCAGGCAGGGCACAGCTGCTGCGAGACTGTCACATTCCTTATTGAAATCCAGCCACAAAACCCAAGGAGGTGCTGATCGGGTTTCCCCCATTCCCAGTATCTCTCTTTAATCGGGAATGGGCAGACTTGCCTGCTCTGGAACGGGTGGGGCAGACCTGTCAGACAGCGTGAATTGCCAGAACCCAGACTTCCAAGCAGAGGGTCCTCCGGGGACCTGGCTGCTCCGCTGGAGTCCTTGGAAGCTGCTTCAGTCTAAATAGCTCCAGGATGAGCCCCTCAGTGAGCAGAAGCGAGTGGGGTTTCCCCTGGAAGCGCAGCTCACTTAGTCATTCCCTGTAACAAGCCTCTGAGTCTGCAGGTTGCTTTGCTCACTGCCTTCTCAGAACCACCTCTCCTGCTGGGCGCTCTGCTCTGGAGATAGGGGTGACAGTCATCCCCTGGGGATCAAGAGCCCTGCCTGAGGGAAACCCATAAAGACCCAAGTGCTAGGGAGTAAGGGGAAAGGGTAACACCAGTATTTCCTCTCTCAGTAACCACCCCCCTCCACCCCGGTTGTCAGAGCTCTTAAGGAAACGGCTTTTCCTGGAGATTGGCTGTGCACAGCTCCCAGCATGAGATCCATGCTCATTTGTCTGAATGTGCTGGGAGGGTCACCACTGGGCAGGAAAGAGCCATTTTCCCTGACTGGGGCAGATGCCACCACTGATGGGGTACTCAGGGAAAGGGACCTTCCCAGAGCTGGGGAAGGCAGACAGTAGGTGAAGGAAGGGTGAGACAACCTGAGGTGCTTGGTTTCCTCCAATCCTAAATCTCTGACATTTTGGATGGTGGTGGAACAGAGGGGCAAACTGTTTAGTAGGTCGTTTGCCTCACCTGGTGAGGTGGCCACTTCTGTGCACCTTAGGGCTGGAACTGGGACAAGCAGGACTCACTTTAACCTGCTCATTCACTCACCTGACCTTCCAACTAACCCCCCACCCCCGTGGTTTGAGCTGTCTCAGGAATGCGTATTTTCTGGGTATCTTTTATATGACAGGCTTAATGGACATGGGGTGTGGGGATGGGGAAGATAGTCCTGACTCTCCTGGAGGCAAAAGGAATTGTGTCAAACAATCAGACTAAAGTTGGAACCCCAGCTCTGCCACTTCCAGTTGTGTGATCTTGGATAAATCATGCAGCTCTGCCAGTCTGTTTCCCAGTGGTCAATTGGGGAGATTAGATCAGATGAGCATAAGGCACTCCATCCAGCGCCTGCTCAATAAATGGGAGTGTGTGATTGGTACTGATAATGATACGAGAGATGGCTTTTTCCCTGTAGTCTAACTCTGACTCTAGAGTGAATTGGGAATTAAGACTTGTGAATGGAGGGGAGAAGTTCTGAGAAGGTCTGACTGGAACCCATCTTTAAACATGGATTTCTGATGAGTGTCCACTCTTTATCCTTGTGAAGGGAATGGGCCTTGTGACAAGAGCATTTGGCTTAGAAGGAAAATCTTCATGGGAGAGCTCAGAGGCACTTAGGGGTCCTGGGGATGGCTGAGTGACATTCTTTTGCTGGAGAGTTTGTGTGTCTGACTGGCTTTGCCCACCATTCTGGAGGCCTTGGTAACCACAGGCATCCCAGTCAGTTTGGACAATTCTGCACTTATGGTGGCAGTTTCTATTAAAAAACCCTTAAGAAGGGACACACTTTTTTTTTTTCTCAAGTGATTGAAGCCATCTATCCTTGTGACTGAGCTGCCTCTTTCTGAAGTTCTCTTGTATTTGATGGGGTTGTGGATTTTCTACTTACCTGTCTGTCTTTGACTGGCATCTGTTGCCGGGGAAGGAATTCACCATGAAGGCCCCAGGTCTCTGGAAAAGAAACGTGGCATATACCCTGAGTGTGTTCAAAGTTGATGCAAAAGAGAGCCAGTGTGAGGAGGTTGAGAAATTGGGACAGAACAATCCCCAGCTCCCACCCTCACAGACTGTAGGCGATGACACTGAAAGGCAGCTCTGCTGGGAGCAGGAGGGATCATCCCGAGCAGGGAGCGGGGAGGTGGGGCTTGGCTCTGGTGAGAGGGAGCTGCTCATCATGGCAGAGGGATGCTGAAATGGCCCCAATAGGTCCTTAAAGGTACTGAGCTGCCGCTGAATTGAAGGAGGAGTCCAGTGGTGTTTTTTTGTTTTGTTTTGTTTGTTTTTTTCAATAGGTAGATTTGCTCTCTGGAGACTTAGACACCATGACTAGGCCAGGTCTGGAGATTCTGTTGAGAAATCTTGGTGATAATGCCTCTACTTATCAGTGCCTCTCTATCAGGTTGAGGATTTGAGCAGTCATTCTTACTGTCCTTAATTTTCTTCTAGAACTAGTTTGAGCCACATAACCCCATTGCCTTAAGCTGCCAGCAATTCTTACTCCACTGAGTAAGAATTGTGTTAGGGATGGGCCTAGTCTAACCCCCTCCTCTGCCCACCTACAGGGTGGGATAGGACTCTCTCACCCCACTCTGCCATCTTGTTGGTGGCTGAGCTGGTGCCTCTGTCTGGATGGCCCTTGAGTAGTGGGCCTTGTTTCTCAGGGACCTTGGGCCTCAGCTATGGATTATCTCACAGGAGGGTGGACACACTGTGAAGCAGGATAGCTCTCTGAACACCCTCACACTACTTACCCACCCTGGCCTCAAAATCCATGTGAGCTTCACCTCTGCCTACCTCTTACCCCTCCTTCCCATCCCACCAACTTCTTGTCCCTCTACTCCTCTTTGCTACTCTTGTGTCACCAGGAATGTGAATTCCCTGTGAATTCTTCCATGAGTGGTTTCTTTCCTCACCTCTTGTTACCTTTCCTTCTTCAGATCGCCCAATGGCTTCTCTTCAGGCCTAGAGGAGCCCAACCCCTAGCCATTCACTCTTCAAAGAGAATGGTGTCTCTTAGGCCAGGGTCAACTTACTGCTTATCTCTTCTGCTGCCCTCACAGAGGCTGGGGAAGTCCACCCCCAGTCTCCACTAGGAATGACTGATAGTATCCCAGTCTTCCTCTTCCTTCTTCTTTGGGGGCTAGGGATAGAACACAGGGTCTCATGCATGCCAGATAAGCACTCAGCCACTGAGCTACACCTCTAGCCTCAGCAGTATCCCAGTTTTTCTGCTCCTCTGTAGGACAGAGCTCTGGCAGGGATTGGCTAGGTGAATGATTCTGCACCTTCTTGGGCCCACGTACCTCATGGGGGTAGGCAGGTGGCTGAGGAAGATGTTCTGGTGTTTTCCAGAAGATCCCTCAGGGCACTAGGGGTTTCAGGCATATCGGGGAAGTAGGAATAGGATAGACCCCTTTCTAGACTCTTCCCGCAGGGTGATCTGTGGGCTGCAGAAAGGCAGGAGACTGCTTAGGAATGATTTGGGTGCAGGCAGCAGCTTGAGAGCCAGCTGCCAAGGGCCCCAGGAACACATTTTATTGTCACAGGTCACACTGAGTGTGTTGGCTCAAGGGAGGGCAAGCAGTTCTGGCAGTGTGAAACCAGCCTTTCACCCCCACCCCCCTTAGGATGGTGGCTACTTTATTTTTAATCTTTGTGGATAGTCAGCAAATGAGTCAAGCGTTTGTAACCCACAGGGGGACAGCTAACTTTTCATATGTGCTTTCCTTTGCGTGTCATCACACTATTTATAACCATCCTGGGGGAAAGACTTCATAATACATCCGGAC